TGGTCCTGTCTCTCAGTAGGCAGTGAGTTGCCACAGTGAAAAGGACAGCAAACCCCAGCAACGGGAGAGAAAAGGCACCACTGATTTGTAAGGCGGGACTCCGGGGCTCCCTGGCTCCTGGGAGGGGGGACAGTCTGCAGCTCCTCTGGCTGCTGGCAGCTCACTCCACAGCCTGACTTCCGCTGTGGTGGATGCTCAGTTGTGCCTGCTAGGCCTGGGCGGAGACTGTAACTGGAGGGAGGGCTTCGAGTCAGAGGGGACCAGGCTGCACAAGAATACCTCAGCCAGGATGAACTAAATCTGCCCATCTCCCCCCACTCGCCTGCCCTCTCCCCCGACCTGCACAGGTTTGCAATTCATCCGCCGTCCTCACATGCTGTTCCTGCTATCAGATGATGAAAATGGAGATTCGTCTTGAAGAAAGAAAGAAGGAGCTTGCTTCCCCCTTCCTGGTGTATTTGAGCCCCCTCCCTCCCCTATCACCATGTGTCTCTGAAACCTGGGGCTGTTCCAAGCCCTAAATATGCTGCAAAGTATATCCCTGAGCAGCTGGGAACCTGCTCAGGCTGCAGTGGCCTGGGGTGAATCAGAAACCAAGAGATAGGCCAGCTAACAAAGCAGCCCCTTGTTCCTGCAATGAGAGAGAGAGAGATCACCATCAGCGCCAGGCTCCTGGGAGTGAGGACACACACACACACACACACACACACACGCACACACACCCCATTTGCCTCCTGGTGCCATCCCCCATCTTGCCTACTCAGGGCAAATGCTGGGGAAAGGTGTTGCCTAGCAGGCCCAAGGCCATCATGACTGCTGGCCGGGCCAGCCTCTCCTTCCATGGCCTCTGTCCCAGCCCCCTTCTCCCCCCTTTCACCCCTAACTTCAATGGGAAGGTAGGCAGGGACTGGAGACAAAGGTATACGCAGCTCAAAGTTTCCTACTGAGCTGGAGGACATGACGGACAACAGAGGCACATCCGAAGGGGCTTCCCAAAGCTGAGAAGTTTGGAAAAGCCTATTTGCAGGAACCAGACACCATGAAAAAATCACTTGCAGGCAAGTTTTGAAGCAGGCCTGATCATGGAGTTGGCAGTCGCTCAAGGCCGCGGTGGAGTCAGGGGCCTTCGCATCGGGCCTGATTACAACCACTCGTGATCCTTGCTAATGGCAGGCATCGTGTGCCAAGTACTCATGGGGGTCTGAACCACCCACAGAAACAGGCTTGTTCACATCCACCACATCCCAGTAGGTGGGAGGGGGCAGGTCTCACCATAAATGGATAAACTGAGGCACAGGGCCACTTGATTACTGGGATTGCCAGTGACTGCAATAGAAGCTCAGTTCCGTTCCCCAGTTCCTAGTGGTTGGGTTCTCACCAGATGCCTGCATGAGCCTGATCTACACGCAAGGTCAGAGGAAGATTAGCATAAACACTCCCTAGCGTAAACATTTCCCCAGAGCCTCATCTCCCCAGACAAGGTGGACATGGTCCAAACTCTGCGAAGTTTCCAGCAGAGTAAAGGCTCACTGCCGAGACTGACCTGGCAGCAGTCCATAACTCGGAGGCACTGGGGTGACCTTCAACTCTACCCTCTACCGCCTCTCCTTCCCCACATCCGCTGCCTCCGAGTCCTGCATCTTCCGTCTCTGACAGAACTCTCCAATCCTGCTCTCTTTGTTCCTTTTCCAAGCACCACTGCCTTAATTTAAGAACACATCACTTCTTCCTGGTGTACCCATACCTTCTTGTCATGCATCTGCTAACAATGCATCTGTTCAGGATCAAGTATAAGCATCCCAGTTGCAGGAGACCACCTATAAACCGGGGCCAATACCAGTTCATTCTCTTCTCTTGTTCGTTCCCAGGCAACTATCATGCCAGGCAATGAACTGTTCTATGACACCCCAGTGCCTTTGCATATGCTGTTCCCACTGCTTGGAATAGCCTTCCTTCAACACTCATTATGTGGGAAACTTGTATCCATCCTTCAAATGCCCCCTAACTCCCAGCACACCCCTGTATTCAGTCTTCTGTTGTAACAATCCTTTGTTTCTCTGTCTATCCCACTGGGCTGGTGATCTCAACTTGGGTGCAGCTGCCTTTTGAGGATATTTGGAGACATTTTGGTTGTCACACCTTGTGATACCTTATGGGTATGCTCTTGGCATCTAGTGAGTGATGCCAGAGATGCTGTTAACATCCTGCAATGCCCAGGACAGCCTCCCCAACAATTATGTAGCCCAAATGTTTAATAATGCTGAGGCTAAGAAGCCCTGGAATACCGTACATGTTTCTTGAGGCATTTTTAAAAAAATCTTTGTATTTTCAGTGCTGGAATTAAAGAGGTATCCAATAAATGCCTTTCATTTTTAATAAATAAGTGATCAAGCTGACTTAATGGTTATATATTGCCTACATGTGGCACTAAAGTAAGGTGACTAATAATGAGCCAGCAAACACACCAAAGAAAATGGAATAAACTGTGCATGTGAATCATATTCTTCACTTTCAATGCAGAAAAGGACCCTTGAACCTTTTACAGTAGATGTCAAGTTTGGAGAGGACACACAGCACCCACCACTATAGCGCTTCTTTTTAAATTGGAGGCCTGCTAGGAAGTTTTGGGGAAATTCCTCCAATCACTCGTGCAGCAGGAACCAAACCCTTACTAGAGCAGAGGATGGTGGGCCTGCCCTACTTCCCACTTGGAATATGGCTAAGTTGGAGGCCATAAAGCAGGCTCTATGAGATCGACTAATTTTTGGACACCTGGGTCCGTTGAAGAAAGACAGAAGGAATTTAACTTCAAGAAAGCTGTGACTACAAGCATTCCCAGTACCGCTTTACAGTAAACAGGAAGTTGACAGGCGGAGGGGGCTACTGGACACCGTTTGCTCCCAGGGCCCAAGAGGAAGGAGCAGATGAGGAAGCAGGAGGTTAAATGGCTTCTGGACAAAGTGAGTACATGCCGGGCTGGGCGTCAGCGTGGAAGCTTGTTTCAGAGGGTCCTAGAGGACTCTGCACCTCGTCTCCTGAGATTCTAGGTGTACCCCAATGCACACACTGCCAGGGCTGCGGAGGGGCCATCAGGCTTCAGGCCCTGCCTCTGGATCTGCCTTTGAGCTGGAGAGGCAGGAAAGACGGAGGAGGTAGAGGGCAGGAGCACGGGTGGGGTGGGAGAGGAGAGAAGGGAAAGCGGCAGCTGAGAGGCCACGGGGAAGCGGCATCTGGAAAACAGACCGGGGGCTATATTTAGACCGCCATGACTTGCAACAATTTGTGTGAGGGGAAAGAGGAAAATGTGAAGTTGGCGGCGTTTTGGGGCAGGAATGAGTTACAAGAGAGGAACAGCTTGAAGGGATGAGCCGTGCATGGGGCCGCCGCCTCTGGCTGTTAGGAAGGGGCCTGAACAGCGCAGGCAATCAAGAGTGAGTGATGGTGTTTACCCAGCCTAATCCCACGCATGCCCCATCCCCAGCCCTACCCTGTGCTCCCCACCAAGAATGTGGGGTGAATTCCTAGGCATAGCAGCAGTCGCCCATAGCACCCAGATGCTTCCGGGATGATTCAGGGTGCTCGCTGCAGAAGTGAGGGCCGAGGCAGGGGCTCGGGGCATACGTGAGCAGCACTCTGTAAATTCTAGGAATGTGTATACATTGCCGAGGCCTTTTTCCAGCTGGACTATAAATAGAGGATTAGTTCAAAGGCAGGCAGCCTTTTAAAGAGATGGTGCCAAGCAAAGCCAGCAAACCAAATACAGTAAAACCTCCTTAAGCCCCTGTTGGTTTATTCCAAATAGCATAGCAGTCAAAGCCCTGGCATTTCCTGGGCTGCCTAGGTGCCCGATTGTCCTTTAGGAAGTAGTCTGGAGGCTTCACGCAGAGCTATAGTAAAATCTCAGTTGTTCAGACCAATAGGAATCATGCCAGATGGTGAAGTTTTCCAGCGAAAGTTTGTCCTTCTAAATAACATATTTTAGAAGTTTAATAATTTTGGACGGAAGTCTTTTTTAAAGTCACGTACTAGGTTTTAAAATAGAATATACTGACTGGTCTCTCCTCTCCTCTCCTCCCCTCCCTTCCCCTCCCCTCCCCTCCCCTCCTCTCCTCTCCTCTCCCTCTTGTCCTCCCCTCTGCTCTCCTCTTCTCTAAGTGACAGGGTCTTGGTATGTTGTCCAGGCTGTCCTTAAACATTCGGTCAGAATTCTCCCTGCCCCAGCCTCCTAAGTAGGTGAGACTACAGAAGTATGCCACTACATCCAGCTAGAACACACTCATCTTCATTGAACATGTTTTGTGCTGCTTAGGGTTAATTTTATAAACCTCAGTTATTTTGCTGTTGTTCCAGGAGTGCCAAAACTTCGAGATAAGTGTATTGTACTTTTGGGTTTCCTAGGTTCTACTTTTCATCATTTTCTAGTCTCTTCTCTTGTTGCCAGGAGTTTCTTTTCCCTGTTGTCAGAGACAATTTTGCTTTGCCTATAGCAACCTTACAGCCCACCTTCTTTTAGTCTAATTTGTTTCTTTTAGTCTGCTCTGGGTTGAGAAACCAGATATGCAAACTAGCTAACATTACATATAAACAAAAATCAAGCAGATTACAAGTGAGGAACCTGGCCCGTCCTGCTCCTATAGGATCACTGCAACCTTGCTTAAAGGGCATTGGGCTATTCAGCCCTCTGGGAAACAGTCACTTTCAATTATATGCAGCTTTAGATACATCGGTATGAGCCCATGTTGATCATTTTTGGCTGTTTGGATATCTCTTGGCTTATCCCCAGATTCTGCTCTGATTTTAGACAGCGAGATGTCTGAGGAGCTGTGTTTTGAGTAGAGGAAGCTTTGCTCTAAATTGAACTTCATGTTCTCAAGGCCCTTGCCTTTGAGGTCACTGAGTTTTTTGCCTGTCTATATTTGAAACTGGCAGTGTGATTAAATTCAGTGCAAGGGAAAAGGCAAACCAACCCGAATCGAACCAAAATGACAACTACCCTGCTCTGTTGTTTACCAGTGTTTATTTTCTTTGTCCTGAAAAGTGATGGGGATTCTGAGCAGGATGCTGAGCAGTCACTCTTAGCATCAAAGAGTGGGAGGACAGTCATCTGAAGGCACTGGGCTTTGAGCTGGTTCAAATGGATAAAAGCAGTTAACTCCAACCCAGGAAGGTCTAGAGTGTCCTTGGGTTATCTTTTAGCATCTTCTGGTAGGTGGTGAAACTCTCCATAGTTAATCAGAATCAGTCTCATAAAGTTCTCAACCAGATGACCTCCCATCAGCAGAGATGAGACATTTCTGATGGCAAAATTAGGCCTGACAGATGGGAGAGGACCATGTTGTTTCACTAGGACACCAGAGGAGGCTCTCAGAAGCTGCACAACCCAGGCCGCTGCCTGGGGCCACCTCAGCAGCCTGCTTCAAGGTGAAAGAAGTCTTACATGCTCTCAAAGAGTCTTCTAAGACACATTCTTACAACTTACTCCTGTATAAAAGCTCAGGGGCATGCTGATTCTGTTCTCATATGATGTCAGGTAAAGAGATATCAGCCCTACAACCCCTCTGGAAATCAGTGTGGAGATTCTTCAAAAATTTGACCCAGGTTTTCTCCTTCTAGATATCTTCCCCAAAAGGTAGAACATCATATTACAAGGATACATGCATACACATTGCATTTATAGCAGTGCAATGTGTAATAGCTAGATCCTGGAGACAGCACAATGTCTGTCAAGAGATGAATGAATAAGGAAAATGTATTGTAAGCAGTTGAGTACTGCTCTGCCAGAAAACAGGATAAACTTGAGGGATTCATACATAAATGGGTGAAACTTAAGAGCATAACATTAAGGAAATTGGTCAGATACACACGCTGAAATATTTCACGGTCTCCTTTCCATCAGAAACCAGAGGAGCACCCTGGAAGACAGACAAACAGAAAGTGAGGAAAGGTTCAGGTGGTTCCCTGAAGTCCATTGTTTCAAAATATTTTAATACATATGCTAATCTATTTCACTTATTCCACTAATTTCTCATTAAAAGAAAATTCTTTGCTAATATCTATTTGTTTCTTCTTTATGAGAAAGGATCCTTTTGTTTTGCCTATACTCTACTTTGAAGATAACGATACACTGTGTATTACCTCTTGTTATTCTCTTATTATTTTGTTATGAAATTTTATTATACATTTTGTAAAATTTTAAAAAAACCAGACACTTGCTCCTTTGCTAAGGTGTCCACCAAGGCCAGTCAGTTCTCCTGTCCCACAGCCAAGGTCTGCAACCCTTGCCTGCCTCCTCCCTCTACTGGGCAAGTGGACCAGAACGCCCTTGACCCCCGGGTGACCCACCTATCGGCTGGCAAACGATGACCAGTGATTGATGTGACTTGGCAGAAGAACCCAAGCTGGGTAAATCAATCCTCTCAGGGGAATCTAGAATTGGAAATGGAAAGACTGGGTCAGTTGGCCATGGCTGCTGCAGCGGAAAAGTCACGGAGGATATGGAGTGGGACCTCCATGTCCATGTGGAGACTGGTAAGGTCCACTGTCTGTCTGGAAGTTTCCACAGAGAAGTGGAAGCTAGAAGGAAGATGGGGAGTACAAAATGGAACAGAGGCAGAGAGAGAGAGAGAGAGAGAGAGAGAGAGAGAACTCACAGCACAGAAAACCCCTGAGCAAGAGCTGAGTTCCCCACATTTGGTCTGTCCCAGGAGTCCCACTTATAGTTATGTCCTACCTGTGAATTTCTAAGAGCCCTTGTGGGTGGGTCTCTGTTTCCTGCAACAAAGAAACCTCTGCCTAAGTCTGCCAGGATCCCTATGAAACAGTTGCTCAAGTGCTAGGAACTCAGAGCTAGATCCATCCTAACATGTCCCTCTCTAGCTTAAGGAATTCTATTTCTTTCACTTTGCCTCAGAGGACCCATTCTCCAGGGTTAATCCTGATGTCATCTTGCCCTGATCCCTCCGGAAGTCCCCAAAGCCTCTGTGCTCCATTGCTATGACTGGTGCTGGCGTTGCCCCTGGAGATAGTGAGGATTGATTTTAGTGCTCGCTGTCCTCTGGGTCATCAATCCTGGGACTGTGCTCTGCTGGTTTTCCAATAACGGAGCTGCCAGCTGACTGACACACAGACCTGCTTCTCTCACAACCTGATACTCCCCTCAGGGTCGTCACTGCCACTAAACATCAGTGCAGGGAGGGGGCTTAGTGATCATCTAGCTCAATCTGTCATTTCAGTGATGAGAAAGCAGAGTCCCAAAGAGGCTAGGGAGTTTACCCTAGGTTAGGAAAAGCCTAATAACTTGTTTCTCTCTCTCTCCGTGTGTGTGTGTGTGTGTGTGTGTGCATACTTTTGCCTTTATTAAGCTTTATCTCACTCATTTAAAAATTCTCCTTTACGCTTTAGAAGGCTTTTTAAACTGTGTTTATTCAACCTTGAACATATTATTTAGATCATTTATGACTGATAGAAATATGTGTGACTACTGGGGAACCCAAGAATTTGGGGACAGCCTTAGACAACATCATGAGACCCCCTTCTGTTAAAAACAAAGCAGACACAGGTGTGCAGATATTTCACAGTATGCTGAATATACCCAAGAAAGGCTAAGTCCACAAATGTAATAAAATATGTTATAGGAAAATAATAAAACAAATTTAAATTTGTTGCAATTTATAGATTGTAGTAAGTGTGCAGATATTTTATTTTATATGCACTTATTGTATACATACATATATGTCTAAATAATATACACAAAAGAAACTACTGATAGAGTGAAGAGACAACCCACAGAATGAGAAAAGTTTGACCAGCTGTTCCACAGACAACGGACTAATAGCTAAAGTATAGAAAGAACTAAAAACTAACCCAGGGCCTTTCAAATTTAAAGACCCAATCCAAAAATGGGCTGTTCATCTGAGATGGACTCTTCATCTGAGATGAATAGTCACTTCTCAGATGAAGTACTAACAGCAAATGAATATATGAAAAAAATGTTCAACATCACTGATCAGATAAATGGAAATTAAAACAACACTAAGATTGTATCTCACTCCAGAAAGAATGGCTGTGATCAAGAAATCAACCAGTAATAAATGTTGGTGAGGCTGTGGGGAAAAGGAACCTTTCTCCACTGTTATTGGGAGAGTAAATTGGTAAACCAATATGAAAATCAGTATGGAGATTTCTCAAAAGTCTAAAACTAGAGGTTCTATTTGACCCAATTAGTTTCTTTCTTGGTATCTTCGCCAGAGAGTTAAAATTATCATACCACAGCAATATGCACGCCCATGTTTACAGCAGCACAATTTGTAATAGCTAAATCTTGCAAACAGCCCAAATGACCATCAGGACACACACATGCTTAAATATCACATTGCTTCTCTTGCATGAGAAATTGAAAGTGTAAATAAAGAGCAAATACATGATAGATAGAGGGAAATAGGAAGAAAATATTCAAATGGGAAGGGGAACAAGGGAGGGGAGGGGATGAGGGAAGAAAGAGGAAGAAGAGAATAGAAAGGAAAAAATGGGAACAAAGATTTTGTAAATAAAGAGGGGAAGAAGCACCGAAGGGAACTGAGGGAATTGGGGGGAAAAGAGACTCAAGATATGTCATGTAAAAAAATATTATGTACGCATACAAATTCCCTGTGATGAGTATAAACATGTATATTAAAAGCATACCAATAAAATTAATAAAAATAATATATATAAGGCATGATATAATGTGGAATTGCATTTAATTTTCATTGTTTCATATATGCTCACTCATTTCTAGCGGTCATAGAAAATCGTAAATGTTTGCATGTGAGTAAACATAGTATAAAGTGCCTTCTGAGAACTGAAGAATTTTTAAGTGAGAGGGATAAAGCTCAATCATGGCAAAAGTGTGTGCACAGACACACTCATGGAGAAGGAAAAACAAGTTATTCTGCTTTCCTGACCTCGCTATCCAGCCTCTTTGAGGCTCAGTTTCTTCATTAGTAAAATGACAGTAAGTTAACAGTACTTGTTCTTCAAAGTAGAACACTCTTGAACAAAAAAAATGATACAATAACCTTAGTAGACTCTGAGAAATACATCTAGAAAGAGTAATCAAACATTCTTAACTTGAGCTTTTAAAAAACTCTCTTAGAACATAAGAAAAAATAATTTCTGACAATCTGAAAATACTTTCTAACTTAAAAGGTCAAGATTTTGTTTGTTTGTTTTTGGTTTTTGAGAGTGTCTCTTACTATGTAGTTTAGGCTAGCTTTGAACTGACAGTATATCCAGGCTGGTCTTAGACTCGTGACAATTGTCCTACCTCAGCCTTCTAAGTATTAGGATCATAGGCATCTGTCACCATACCCAGCTCAAAGTTATTTTTTTAACTTTATTATTTTGAAGGTAACAGAATACAACAGAACAAGACAGAATAAGCCAGTTGAGACCGTGTAGTGAAATTGGTACAGAACTTCACAGCAGGTTACGGGGATAACAGTAATAGGTATCACAGTGTATCTCATTATCTTCACAATAGTTGTTTTTTCAATCACACATAGCAAAATAAAATGAAATACAGAACATTATAAAACTTATCAAAACAGAATATTGAATAGAGCAGTACCATTAATCAGAATAAAGCAAAACAGTAATAAAAAAATTTGCCTTCAAAGAGATGGTAGAAGGAAATCCCCCTTATTTGCTATATTGCATATGGTCAACCTCCCAAGAGATGCTCAGATCTCTGGTTCCCATTTGCTAATGGGGGCAGGGGAGTGGAATATTTGACTCTCAGCCCATGCACCAGTAGGCTCACTATTGCTTACCAGGGAGGCAGGCTGGTTGCTTGGTTTTCCAGCACCCTAAGTTCCAACATGGTGCTGATCTCAGGAGACGTTGGTGGTTCTCCCCCTGGAGGGGCTGCAGCCTGCCACACCACTGCTGCTTACTTGGGAGGCGAGCTGGTTGCTTGGTTTCCCAGCATCCTAAGTTCCTCAAAGTTATTTTTAATGGCACAACGTTGGAAGCATTTTCTTTAAGAGCAGAGATAAACAATGATATCAGTTACCACTTTTACCATGTATTTTTACTACATAATAATCATTTTGAAATATTTTTCTAGTGTAATAAAAAGCAATGTAGTATCAAATGGTAAAGCTCCTGGAAAGGATATGAATAAAACTAAGCTTCAGTGGAATAGATTAACATAAAATATGTGAATAAAAACCAGCAGATGAAGCAATTATAGAAATTTTGTCTATTGAGCAGAAGACAAATAAAAATTCCCTTCTTGTTTAGAATTTTAATGCTAGAAGAAATGTTACATATGTACCTGTGTGTAAGATGCTCAATAAGTGTCTTTTTTGAATACATGAATGAATTACAAAATAACAACTTTGAAGTTAAATAAGCAAGGTCTAGGGAAATTAAGTGACATAAATAAGGTTGTTTTTAAGAAAAATGAATTTTTCTTCACATATGAGACTAGGAGGTATCGCACATCATGGAAGAAAACATTCAGGGGATATAGCTCAGTGCACAGTACCTGCCTGGCAAGTGAAAGGATTCCCAGTTTAAAAGAAAAAGATTTTATTCAGCAAATGGGGCTTAGACAGATTGGAGATCTGAGGAGAGCATAATCAATGTAGAAACACATTATATAGCATTTTCAAATAATGTCCATATAGAGAAAGACTTAGGTGAAAAAAAAAACCCCACAAAAACACAAAAAAGAACTTATGCAGATTTCTGGAAGAGTCATACCTAATCTCTAATAAAAAGGGACTAGAGACTGAAAGTAACAGGGGAATCATGGAAGGCCCAGGGATTTGATTACATGAAATTATAAAAATGCTCTTAAGTTAGACATTAATACAAGCCAAATTAAAAAGCAAACAAAAAGCTGTGAGAAAGAGGTAGGAAAATACCCTTTAAACATTCAGATGATTTGGGCTTCCGGAGAACATGGCGGACAGACAACAGCAACTACCGGAGGCTCTCTGAAAGGCTTGGCTCAGAGGCTAGGAATGATGCGGACTAAGGAGACACGAACCGGTAGAGATATGCTCTGCTGATTCAGGAACGAACTGGGCTGAGAGAAACCAACTTAGAATACAGTCCTGGCGCTAAAATAGGAACAGAAAAGGCTCAGTGTGGAGGCTCGACCGCGCGCCATTGGAAACCGCGATTTGGGTTTCCCGCCGCCCGGCGGCTGGCTGCCTCCACAGCGGCTCGGCAAGGAGAGACGCGCAGAGCTCTGGGAACGGGAGTCTGCGAACGGAGTCGAAAACAGGACGGACAAGGAGGCACTGACTGGTGGCGAGGTGAGTGAGAGGAAACTGACCCCCTACCACAGTTTGACTCCAGCGGAGGACTTTTTGGGCTTGGGCAGTCCTGTAAGAGCAGGGCGCGGTGGCGACTCCAGCCACACATTCCCCTCTCGGACGGGATTGGTGAAAAGTGCCTGGCCTGCGTGACGCTGCTGGCGGACTCCCTAGGCTGGCCCAACCCAGATCCCAGAGCTGGACGGTGGCCCAGAGGAGCGACTGACTCCCGCATAGGCTGCCTCCTCCGCAACTCCCTGGTGCGCAGCGGTGGGCGGGAACACCTAGCCAGCACAATTTGATCAGGCTGTGGCTGACAGGCAGGGAAGCCGGGCCTCCTATGTAAGCTTGCATTTTATAAGGAACAGAAAAAACAGCAACAAAAAAGGCTCCTCGGCCCCCAATCCTGAGAAACAGGCAATAGTGGACACCGCACCAATATACATTAAGCGCCATATAGAGAGCCTCATAGACCAATTCAGGAATGAAGTTATCAACGACCTGAAGCTAGAAGTATGCAGAATAGTTAGAGAAATGCTAAGCACCACCCAGGAAAAAACAGATGGTGGAATGGAAGAACAGAAAAAGAGGGGAGAATTGCTTGATGGAGAAAACAGAGAAAGCATTGAGTATGTGAAGCAGGTTCAAAGGGACTATCAAGAAATTAAGAAGTCTATCCAAGACTGGCATAACAGCTTGAAAGAAACTAAGGACAGACTGTCTGAACTGGAGGGCAGACTTGTAATATGGGAGAATGAAATGAAAAACTTCTTAAAAATAACAAAGAAACAAACAGCAATAATACAAAGACAAGAAGATGATAAGAGGATCCATAACTTAAGGATTAAGAACATAAAAGAAGAAGTAGGGACACAAACAAGTGAACTACAAAAGCTACTCACAGAAATAATCCAGGAGAATTTTCCTAATTTAGCAAAAGGTAAAGATACTCAGATGTATGAGGCATACAGGACCCCAGCTACCTACAACCCTAACAGAGAAACACCCAGGCATATAATAATAAAAATTCCAGAAATTCAATACAAGAACAGAATATTAAAAGCTGTAAGAGACAAGAAACAGACTACTTACAAGGGAACACCCATCAGAATTACAGCAGATTTCTCTTCACAAACCATCAAATCACGAAGAGCATGGGGGGAAATAATTCAAGCTTTGAAAGATAATAATCTCCAGCCAAGATTGAGATATCCTGCACAACTGTCCCTGGAAATTGATGGAAAAACGAGGTGCTTCCAGGATAAAGAGGAACTGGGGGAATTTGCAACCACCAATTCAACCCTACAGAAAGTATTGCAGGATATTCTAAAAAAAGAAAAATACAAAGAACCCAGAAATAGTGGCGGGGAGGCCACAACGAATGGAGCAGAGAACAAAATGAAGAAGACAAACTGACAGCTACTGACAGAAAAAGAGCTCAACAGAAATGAGACAGAGAAGATTGGATGATAGGAACAGCTATTTTGGAGAAAATGACATCTTAATAGGTAATACTGATTTAGTACCATCTTGTTTTTGTTTTTAGTACCATCTAGCTTTTGTTCTTCTGTCTCCAATGGTCTAAACAGGTTGTATCTTATTGGATTTTATTATGTACGATAGTATAAGCAAAAACCTTTTAAAGACAAGGAGATTATACAGAAACCATTGTTCATTTTCTGTTAGTCGATTCTAAATACTCTATAATGCTGTCATTCTCTTAAATGGTTTTACATTGTTTTGATATACTTAATGCTACAGTATACGAAGTTGTACTCAAGGACTTCAAGGAAAGAGTCAATATGGTAACTACTTTTGGGTCGGAAATATCTGGTGGTGAAACACTATTCTGCTTAAATGGTTATGTTTTGATCTGCCCTGTTTCGCTGTTATGCCCTCTTTTTTCTCAATCTCCACTCCATTATTTACTTTTTTATTTTTATCCGTTTAATTAAAGGGAAAAAAATAGCAGGATATAATATAGTAACCCACTTTGACTTTCTATTATCTCGATTTGAAGCCCTGTATTACTCTCACCATCTTGTTTTTGACTGAGGTTCCTCTATTCTGTTTTGCTGGATAGTATCAGGTTCGAAAGTTTAGGCATCAGCTGAGAAGATAATGAGATTCATTATAACGCCCATTCTCGTTGACTTTTATCTACTTTTGAAGACCTACAATATCTCCAATGTTTTGGTTTTGTCGGCTTTATTCTTTACTGTTTTGTTAAATTGTATTACAACTAATGATATAGGCAATTCTATTAGAAATAGCGGGAGGCATTATGGTAACCATTGTTGATCACCTTGTATTATGTTTTTATGTTATCTATTATATCCACCCTTTTGTCTTGACTGATTCTGTTCTGTTATGTCACATTTGGTTTTACTCTCTTCCAAAAAAGCAATAAGAACTGTGGGAGCAATGAAACCCAAAATGTGTAATAGTCACTGTACAAAAGAGAGGAAAAGAAAGTGCTCTAAACTATATAACTGCATGTATATTTAAGTGTATAAGATAGAAAATGATATCACAGAGTTTTATTGGATCATTGAACAGAACTGTTTGCAGTATCATTGTTGGAATGTCCACTCTACAAGCTTTAATTTTGTGACTTGAACAATTATTTCTAAGATGGCAATATGTAATCCATTAACTAGTGATTTCCTACTGCACATTTTTTTCTTCTGTAAATCTGTATAACTTGTACCCCTTCACTGTTTTTTTTCTTTTCTTTTCTCCTTAAATAAATAAATAAATTTAAAAAAAAAATTCAGATGATTTGACAAGAAAAACAAAACAAAAAATAAATAAAGGAGCAAAAGATGGGACAGCATCCACACAGGGAAATGCAAAAATCTATGAAGGGAAAAAAAGGTCAACTTCATTGATAATCACAGCTTCATGAATAATCATTTCCAATATATCATCAAAGAAGCAAAGTTTTGTTTATTTTTAAGTGATACGATTCAAAGCTGCCAGGTCTGTGGGGAAATGGACATTTCCATTCACTGTTGGGGAGAGGAAAACGGCACTAGTTTACTGTACACATCTGGCTGGATGCACCCAGGACACTCAGAACATGAAAATGGTCATCTGTTTTAATCCCACTCCTGGGAACTTTTTAACCCTTTAAGATTGCTAGGCTCAGCAAATATAAAGAAAGATGCTTGCTTAAATTTGAATTGCATGTATACAATGAATACATTTTTTAGAATAAGTCTATCCCAGGCAATATTTTGAATATCCTCATACTGAAAATCTATCCATTGTTTATATGAAATTCAAGATTAGCAGGGCATCCTGTATTTCGTCTGGCAACCTTTGCCTGTGGAAATACTCTAAAAGCAGCTAAGGATTTATGGACAATTCTTGGTTGCAATTTCCTTTTTAATAACAAAAATATTGAAAGAAAAAAGAATATAAATCATACAATGCCTGCTCTCAGTTGACAATGAAATGAAATAGAAATCAATAACAGAAAGATAGTTGGAAAATTTCCAAACACTTGGAGATTAAGCATCATCCTTGCAAATAAGACATGTGTCAAAGATGAAATCTCAACAGAAATTAAACAATACTTTGAACTAAATGGAAATGGAAACACAACTTTCAAACTTTGTGGAATGAAATTAACCGAATTTTTGAACAAACCCAATCAGGCAAAACTCACATAAGAAGAAACAGGTAAACTGAACAGGTCTATGACTTTTCAATAAATAAGAATCTTTCCATAGACAAGGAACAAGGTCATCCCATCGGTGCTTTTGTTTTTTTGTAAATTCTACGAAGTACTTAAGGAAGAAATTATAGCAATTCTCTGCAGTCTTTTTGGTTACAAATGACACAATCATCTGTGTAGAATATCTGGTCAACAAACAATTCCTGAAACTCATAAGCAATTACAGGAGGATTGCAGGAAACAAGAGTAACATAAAAATTTCAACTGTTCTCCTATGTATTGGCAATGAACAAGTGGCACGTGAAATTCAGACCCTTAGCACAGGCTGGCATGTAGTACACACAGCAACACATAGTAGTTGTGATTGTGATCATTATTATTTAGCTTTCTGCATGTCTTTATAATCTTTTATCCGAACTATGTCTTGGGCTTCATTGCCTCTGTTCTCTTCTCAAATTGCAACCAGGATGAGCTCATTAGAATGCAAATATAAACATTATCAGTATCCTACTTAAAGCTTTTCAAGAATCCTTCATTACCTACAGTGTAAAGCCTATCAACACAATGGATAGGTCTCAAAGTTCAAGATGCTGCCTACATTTCCCATCATGTCCCACCCCATTTCAACTTTATGGTCAGAGACATCAGCTCTGTGAGAGTCCATCCTTGCCCATGTGACATACCTGCCCCAGCTCATTGCTACTCATTGCTGTCTTTCCTCCCTGCAGTTTCTTAATCTTGAGTACTCCAATCCAACCTTTGGGACCTCTTCTTCTTCACTAACAGTCAGTTGGTACCTCCACCAACAGCCAGGTCTGGATTTACCATCCTTGCATTTGCTGCACTGTATTTTAAGAATCTGCTTCTGGGCCTGTTGGTTCTATTAGAGCAGAAGCTTCTTGAACTAGGAATTTTGGTTTCTATAAATCCCCAACACTTCAGAAGGTTCCTGGCTGTTGGTAGATGTACAATAAATATGTGTTGCATGGACTACCTCATAGTGGGATTGTGCTAAGCACTTCATACAGCATGTGCATGAGAAGCAGCTACCAATATGCCCACTTAGCATATGAGGAAGCTGCCACTCAGAAAGATGAGGTTGCTTTCTCAAGATCAAAGTGCCTATTTCATGATTATCCTGAAAATCCCTGAAAAGCAGTTTTTTCAGGGGCATGTCGGGTTGGTGATTAGGGATGCCTGATTCAGGGATGTGCTTGGGGAAAGTACTAGGGGACCCATTGCTGGACACTTCCAAAGCCATGAAACCTGGCTCTGTCCACCTTCCCCACAGGCCTGCTGGAGGCCAAATGGAAGAGCCTTTCTCAGTCTACATTTTCCTCAAAGTCTCTGGGACACTGTTCTGTTCCCTGATTGCTTTCTCCGGCTCATTCTCTTCCTAATTTCATTCACACACAGAGACACTTGACCTGCTGAACTCATGACCTCACACTTGCCAGGCAAGCACTTACACCATTGAACTAAATCCCTTGTCCCTACCTGCCTCTTCATTTCTGTGGCTGATACACTCCTTCAGATCTCAGTCCCTCCCCCAGACCTGTCACAGGAATAACCACTGGTAGCTGTCTGTGACTGTAATAATCAGTGATGAACACATGGCTCACGGTTTCAAAAGGTTCAGTCCCTGGCTGGTTGGCCCTCTGCCTCTGGCCCTATGGCAAGGCAGTATGCCACGACAGGACTGTTTGGAGGAGCAAATCTGCTCACCTCATACTGGGTAAGAAGCAAAGGGGTCCCTGTTATGCTTAAAATCTAAAATTCCCACTAAATGTCTCATGTGCTTAGAGGTGGGGCTTTTGGAATTAGCTCAGAGGGTACTATAATCAGAGGATTAACCAGACTCATCCTCAATGAATGGATTCAGTTGTGGCACTGCTCTGCAGGGACATGTTTGCTTGCTCTCCTCCCAAGGGACTCAGCTCTGAGTGCAAGCCTGGGGCTTACCTGTCCCTTCCTAGGCCAGGCAGATCCCTTTCTTGCTGCCTACAAGTCCTCAAGCTTTCTTCCTTGAGCACGAGCCAGGGGACTGCAGCGTCTCTACAACCAGCTCATCCATCTCCCTCCCCCAGCACATCCAGAGGGCTGACTGTGTGACCTTTTCCATCTGTGGACACCCCCACTCCCACCCCGCTGTGCTCACTCTTGTGTGCTCACTTTTTTTCTTCCTTCTTCTTAAACACGAGGTCCTAGAGCTTGCTTGAAGGCCTGGCCTGAGTGGAAGGAAGTTGGCTGCTCAGTTATATTTAGGCTAGCGGAGACATCAATCTAAAGCTCTTTAAAAATAAAAAGTCCTATTTCAGCTGGCTCCCCAGCACATCTCCACCCACTCCACCCCTAACAAGAAGCTCATTCGCCTCCCGTTGGCCCCCAGTCTCCATTACAGAGCCTTCACATGGCTCACACATGTGTGAGGTAGGATGTCAGCTCACAGTGCCCTTCCTGCCCAGTTTAGAGGGATCTCCCTCTGCTCCCAGGCCTTTCTCCTCTGGGCCTTTTTCTCCTTCTTGTCCCAGAGGACTTGGAGACTTCTCTGAGGCCACTTCCCTCCCAGAAGCATCTAACCTGTTACTGGAGAAGACAGTGGTTCCTCCAAAGTTGCAGGCTCTTCCCTTCACATTCTCCACAAAGATCACAACTAGATGAGATGCAAACGGGGGACAAAGACCAAAGTCAGCAGTGGAAAGTGGGGCTCAAAGCTGTGCTAAGATGTGCAGTGGGCACTTTTGGACGCATGCTCCCAGCGGGCATGCGAGTGTGCATGTGTGACACACGGAGGGCGCCTGAGAAGAGGCCCATGCGAGGCCTGGGCCAGTCCCTTCTGCTCCTCTTGGCTCCCACAACTCTGGTTCTTTTCCATCCCACTGATGAAACACTTCTTTATGTCTTATTCACATCCTGTCTTGACTACCACAATTGTCTCCGTGCTGGGCCCACATGTCTCTCATCACCAATGGGATCCAAATGTTGCTGACAAAATAATCTCATTGCCTTTGTGCTGCCATCACATTCCTCCGTTTCGCAAATTCTTCCCTGTCTCCCCATTACGAGGGGAATCACACACACAGACCACCGGCTCGCTCTGCTTCTGCGCCCACCCCCGCCGCGCAGTCTCCTCACCTGCTTCTTCCCATCCTCTCTTCCAGGCCAGTCCTGTCCGCCTGGCACCACCTCCCGACACTCTCGCCTCAGCTGGTGCATGTGCAGGCATCTTCTGGCTCTGGAGCAGCCGCAAGAACCAAATCTGGGGACGGCAGTCAACACGAGCAAGGATAACAGGATGCCAGGAATTAGCAGCGCTAGAAAACAAAACAGGGCAAGGGGCTGGTGAGCAGCTCTTACCCAGGGAGGCCTAGGGAGGTCCTCTTGGAAGAAACACACACCAACTCCTCACCTTTCCTTCACTTGGGCCTCAAGACCCTTGGCCTGCCTTCATTTTTATTATGTCCATCTGGATTGTAAGGTCAGGAAGCCACTGAGCATAATCCTGCTTCAACAGGAGGTGGGTTACATTGCTGACTCTCTAAAGAGTCTTTAAGAGCAGTGCAGGCCTGTGATTCTGGCATTCTGGGAGGCTGAGGCAGGAGGGTTGCAAGTTCCAACCCAGCCTGAGTAACTTAGTGACTTTGTGAGACCTTTCTCAAAATTTAAAAAAAAAAAAAATTACTAGAAAGCATGGGACTGTAGCTCAGTGGAGAAGCCCTGGGTTCAACACTCAGTACAGGAAAGAAAGAAAATAAGAAAGAAAGAAAAAGAAATCAGTAGTACCATAAAAACCACATGCATGGTACACACACAGATCCTCAAACTAACTCAACATCCTTTCCATTTCCCTGTCCAAAACCTGAGTGGTCCCTTAGATACAGTGTTACCTGGAACCAGGGAGAGTCCTCTGGCAGGGTGACCACCAGCTGGCTCTGTGTAGCCACACAATATCCTCTTCCTCTGAAGGGAAGCAGAACCTATGGCCCAGAGGCTCGGTGACCACGGGCACAGTCTTTGCTTTTTATCAAAGGAAAAAGCGTCCGGTGATGGAGACTTCAGTGAATAATTTTATTAGCAGGAGAGGTAACAAACATTAAGTTAGGAGCAATTCAAAATTGCTATCACTTTTTAAACAGATTTGTATGTGTTTTTGCTCCCTGGGAGGAGGATGAACAAGGAGTAGCAAGATGAAGCCCAGGTCTCAGTTTGGACTGGGCGCAAGGTGTGAATTACACTTCTGTTCACAGGGGCTGTCTCTGGCTGCCAGCTTGCGGGATGACACTGCACACATACTGTGTCCGCGTGCCACCCTTCCCAGTTGACCTACCCCAGACCTGCCCATCATCCCCTTGCCACAGCCACTGGCCACAGGAGCTAATGGGTACTTGAAATGTGGCCAATCTGAACTGATTTATGGTATATTGTACACTCCAGATATTGAAGATTAAGTATAAAAAAACAAGTGTGAAGTAGCTCCCAAATCATTTTTATATTGGTTACATGTTGAAATGATATTTTGGGGTTAAAGAAAATGTATTACTATATTAAGTAAATAAATGTGACATAAGTAATAATGAGTTATAAATAGAGTGTATTCTTAAAATTAATTTTGCCAGGCGTGGTGGCACATGACTATAATCTCAGCACTTGTGAGGCTGAAGCAGGAAGATCGCTGTGAGTTTGAGGCCAACCTGGGCTATAAAGTTGAGTTCAAGGCCAGCCTGAACTGCGCAGTGAAACTCCCAAAAACATTAAAAAAAAAAAAAACTCACTTGTTTATATTTACCTTTTTAGTATGGCTATTAGAAAATTTTGCCAGGTGCAGTAGTGCACACCTGTAAACCCAGCACTCAGGAAGCTGAGGCAGGAGGATTGACATGGGTTCAAGGCCTGCCTGGGTTACATAGTGAGTTCCAGGACAACCAGAACTATACAGAGAGACCCTGTCTCAAAATCCCCCAAAAATCAAACAACAAAACAAAACAAAAAACGAAGAAAACTCCAAATGGTATGTGTAGTTTGTATTTGTATTACATTTTTATGTAATACATAAAATACGGACAGGTTTGGGGTAGATCACACAGGGCAAGGTGGCACGCGGATACGGTATGTGTGCATTTTATTCTTTCTATTCCATGGAGATGTTCTGCAGAACCCCCTCCTGTAAAGGAGGTAGAACGAGCTACCTGGTAGAAAGGAGGAGGTGGGGGTGCCTGGAAGGGGGCTGGGAGAGTGGGAGGAGTCCTATCCATTAGCAGAGCCTTGTCTGGCTCAACTATGATTGGATCAGATCGCCCATTCATCTGAAATTGCGGGAGGCCCTCATTCAATCACCCTAAGTGGAATCTGATCCTTATCTTGGGATAAACATTCCAAATGGAAGGTGAGTGCTGGGAGATAAGAGAGATAAGGAAACCATATGGCCCTGTCACCCAGAGGCTCCCGGGGTCTTATTCCTGGAAGGATTAATGAGTTGGAAGGGGGATCATTATAGTTCTGTTTCTTGAGGATGAAGAAACCCCAAAGCCCCACCTGGCAGGCACAGAGGATTAGAACTCAGAGCCTAGCTCACCTCTCTGGCCTTTACTGGGCTCTCCCCTCCCCCTCTGTCCATCTTCCTCCACACTAAAGCCCTTAAGCCCCTAAACTCTAAATTGCACTCAGCATCCCAGACCTGACTGTGGCTCTCCACCCACTGTGACGTAGTAATTTCCAGAGACTCCCCCCACCTCCCTGCCCCCACATCTCTCAGACCTCCTTTCATCAAAGGTGAACTGACAGTGGTGGCCACCAAGGTGTGTGTACAGTGGAGAGATGCTTTCCTGTCCAGACTCGGTGGTGGTGGGGTGTTCCTGTGTGCTTTTGGGGACCAGGAGCCACCGATGAGTTGAAAATCCCAGGAGCAACGGAGGGCAGGTAAATATGAGTCCTGGAGAAAGGGACTGGAACTGGGGTGGGGGTGGAGAAGTTGGGCTCTGGCGCATGTTCTCTCCTCCCCTATCCCCAGCCCCTCCTCCCCTATCTCACAGCCCCTCCATCCTTTCTTCCCGGCCAGCACTCTCTACACAAGTGTTCCAACCCACAACTAAAGATGGGGGAAGGCATTTGGTTTAGGTGCAAAGGGGACACTCTGAGCAGGGGGTAGCTTTGGGATGGTCTAATATTAACCACGAGTCATAATCACATAAAGAACAACCCACAGGCACTGAGGACTCGATTTATGGCCGTGCTTGATGATCTTGTGGGATCTGCACTAGCTCTAAGTGGTAGGTGTAATTTTACCAAGGAGAACACTCAGGCTCAGAGAGGCTCAGTAACTTGCCCAAGGTTGCAGAGCTAGTGAGAGAAGATGCCAGGAGTCAAAACCCCTTGGGACCCCAGTTCTTGCCCATCATTCAATTCTTCCCATCAGCCTTCAACAGCTGTGGTTAGGGACCAGCAGTCAGCAGAGAGCGGGCTCTGGCCCACATTGCAGACAGCCCCAGTGTAGCGTGGGCAGTTGCAGATGGCTGCCAACCAGGCAGCCAGAGCTGGGTTCTCACACCTCCCTTGCTGGAACAACCCAAACCCACTGCTGTCCACACAGTGCTGGCCAGGAAGAGGTCGAGCTCTCCCTCCTAACCCCAGCGCTGTTACATCTTAGGAGAGGTTGGAACACCTGGGGAGGGGTGGGGTCCCCACTAAGTTCCAGCCCAGCCTTCCCTGCCTCGGCTCACCCTGGCTGATGGCCTTGGTTTCGGGCTTTTCTGTGCTCTAAGCACATCTAAACATTTGGAGAAAAACAAGAAAGTGAACAATGAGCGCTTGTGGGCTAGAGAACAGGGCTGCCTTCCCCCTGGGACTCGAGCACTGTTCATAGACTGCCCCAGCTGCACTCTCACAGTCAGGATGTCACTGGAGCCCCACTGAATTACAGCCTTGTCCTCGCTGGAGGGAGGCCGGCTATTGGCTCCTCTTCTACATCACTGGGGGAATGCAGATGTTGGTGGGGGAACCAAGGGCTGGTCAGTGGGAAGGCATGTTTTCCTGCCAGGATTTTGGGAAATCACACAAGAAAGATCCATCTGAGCCTTGGCACTGTAACACTGCCAAACCACCCCTGGACAGATGTGTCCCAATCAGAGCTGTTTGCCCCCCAGGAAAAGAATCAGCTTTCTATCAAGTGGACTCTGGGCACAGCCCCAGGGAGCTTGAAGGGTCCACAGGGCCTGGAGGGTAAGTGGGGCTAATGTGCTGAGAGCATTGTGCCTGGACACCATGGCATAGGCGTCCTCACATAGGCCCGCTGTGCAGGCTGGAGTGGGCAGTGGGCCAATGGTGGGCTCCTCTGAGCTGGTTCCTCTCAGGCTGCTTTGGGCAGTTTTGTCTCACAGTCAAAGCCCAGGGTGGCAGGGGTATGGTGCACTAAGTCAAGAAAAGTTGGTGACTAGATGGATCCAGCAGAGCTCTGACACGTTCTTGTTCACGGCTGGCTGGCCAGCCGGGTAGAGCCATGAGGCAATGACCAGTTAGGCTGAGCACTAAAACAGAGCTCCTCATTCCATCCCCAAGAGCCATGGCAGCCAGAGGAGCGTCCTGCCTGGATGGCAACCCCGGAAAAGGCCAAAGTGTTTCTGCACCGACTGTTCAGACATCATTTCACGGGCCCAGGTTGCACTCACTTGGCCGTCCGCCCTTCCCTGCAAATGAGCGCTCTGGCGCACAGAGCACGTCTGGGTTGGTTTGCTGAGAAGTGCGAGAGGAATTCAGCAAGAAGCTCACGACTGAAGAAAAGTCAGCAGATTTACTGAAAGTATTATTAAAGAGCCATCCAGGGGATGTGAAGGGCAGTGTAGCAGCTGGGACTAAAGATACTAGAGTAGACAAGAAGGCACCCACAGAGAGGCCAAGAAACGGATTCAGAAACAAATGGTTTGGCTACCAGAGAGTAAAACGGGGATTTTTGTTCTAAGAAGTGCCAAATGGCTGTGCTAAGTGTAACCTGGAAGAACAGGTCCAAAGGTAAAGATCACCGGTGTGTGCCTAAGGGGTCTCTCTTCCTGAGACCCCTACACTCCCTCCTGCCTTAAGAAAACCAGGGACTACTGTTGGTGGCTGGGAAGGAAAGCACCCCCACCCCAACAGCTAAACAAGAAGCCAGTGCCCAATATCCTTGTTTGGGTATTGGGGCCCAATCCCAGGGCTTCGAGCATGCTAGGCAAGCTGTCTACTACTGAGCTACATCCCCAGCCTTATTCTTTGCCCCAGTCCCCTTTTGGTATTGGGGACTGAACTCAGGGTCTTCATACTGAGCTAAACTCCATTCTGCCTTTTAAAAAATTATTGTTTTTAAGTTTGAAACAGGGTATAAGTTGCCCAGGCTCCCAGCCTGCACTGGAAGCTAAAGCCTTTCTGCCTCAGCCTCCTAGATTGCCAGAAGTTCTGGTATGTGCCATCATGCTTGGCTTTTGACTATGATTTTCTGTAAGTTGGGCACAGGGGGCTGTGCAGCACATTCACAAAAGGCCTCGTCCCAGGCCTTGGTGCTGTGGTGAGCACCCCACAGACTGGCTCAGGGGTCTCCTCCCTTTGTACTTGTACTCCTGACCACCAAGCAGCCTAACCCACAAAAGACGAGCAGTACATTTGCATGTTAGAAGGAAGAGTTCTCTTCTCAGGAAGCCCAACAGTATTACCACAGAATTTTCTTGACTTTCAATGTCATAGTATCTCCCCAACGAGGCCCAGACAAACTTACTAAATGAGTGGAGTTTTGAAACTGAGGGAATATGGTAAATACCTAATTATCCCTATCTTTCAGACAAAATCTTTGACCGTAAATGTCCTGAATTTCACATACGCTTTCTAAGTGTATTCTTTCTTTCACAATTGAACACGCAATTGTCTGGCTTAAATCCAGTGACCCTTGATTGAGGCTAAATATTCCCCACTTTCGGCACGCCTAATGATTTCCATCTTTGTCTCCATTCTACTAGGTTTAAGAGACTTACCCTTCTTATCAGTAGCATCGGCACTTCATTTTTCCATTTCCACTCATTCTTATTAAATAATAAGGTCAAAATGTAAGAAAGTATTCAAATACTTGCATAAACACTACTCAACAGTCACAAGGTGACAGTGCTGACATGGAACCATTGTCCAGCAGGCCGAGGTGTCTTCTGACAGCTTGATATGCTGGTTTATCCACCAAAGTGGGGAAGCTTGAAACCAGGGCTTGGCCCAGATTGAGAGGGGGGTGTTGTCATACATAGATCAAGGCAAAAAGTATGGACTAGAAGAGCGCACCAATGGCAGAGGTACTGGTTACAGACATCTAGAATGAGGACACTCCCTGAAGCTAGCTGGGGCTGGGGGTAGGCCTGCTTTCCTAGCTGTGTGTGGCATCACAGGCATTATCAGAACTTCCCAGCATCCCTGCATCCGGAGGTGCACGAAGGGTGGGGGTTTCTGCAGAATTCACAGCTGAGGAGTCTGTGCATACATCAAAGGGGGGTGGGGTGGTCAAGTTCTAGGCAGCACTGCCCTGGACAGTGTGTCTTTATCCAGGTTGATCTGCTGCAGGGGGAAAGGAGGGAGGCTGTTATCATCTCCAGAGATAGGGGGCTTACAGCCAACAGAGTGCTGAAAGGACACTTACTAGCTTGAAGAAATTCCTCAGGAGGCCCAAGAGTGCCTAGAAACAGATTCCCAGGAGCTCTGTGCCTCTTAGCAACCCTGGCAGCAGCACGTGACTCACGTCTCTAAGCCTGTAGGGAGTGTGGTCGTCACACTCAGCAGTTCTAGGGGACAGAACTGAGCAGAGACCCCTTCCTCAAGGCCACCCGAATGCCAAGAGCCTTTCATTAAAGAATATGTGGGCAAAGTCATATGAGGAAGTATTCTACTCAGTGATTAACTGGCATGTTGGCAGAGATGGAACCTGACAGATAGGTGGATCATGGGTCTAAGAGTCTACGCCTCCAGAGTAGCCTGGACTGGGCTTTCTAAGTGACTCTGGACTAGTTCCCTCATTTGCAAAATGAGAGCATTGATCTCTGACCTATCAGCTCTAATACTCAAGGTATTTGTATTGGCAGAACATTACAATATTTGAAATGTGAAAAAGTGTATGATTTAAATTATCTTAGAAGATAGTTATATTCTTTATTCAACAATATACTCTATATTCAAAAATATGATTGATTTGGAGATTTATAACAGAGGGAAGAATTTGGGGCTCCCATTCAGGCCTAGAACAGGCACTAGAAAACTACAAAGCCATTTGCTTCTGAATCAAATCCTCCCAGCCTGATGATTCCTCTCCTCTCACCTCTAGGGGTTGAAGGGCTGTAAGTTCCCTTCAGGATGCTGAGGAGTAGGCAGGGTCTGTTCACAAGACAGGATATGAAAAACCTCCTTTTAATTAAATTTAAGATCAAGCACATTTTTCAGAGTTGCTAAGGCCTACATTTTGTTTTGCTTAGAGTTTCCAGGACCGAATCTGAAAGGCAGTCTGTTCTCTACCTTTAAAGAAGAGAACTGGGGAAGAGCAGTGGGATTTGTGATTCCTATTTGCAAGCCTCCCGGGAGACAATGCAAGAACTCCTCTGCAGCCGCAGGAAACCAAACACCTGGGCTGGGAAGGCAAACTACCTGCGGTCCACTGAGGCTGCCAGCAAGACACAGCCAGGGAGAGGCGGGGCGCAGCGGCTCCCCTGCCAGTTGAAAGCCTACTTTTGTTCGAACTACACCTCAATCATCTGCTAGCTCTCTTTCTGGAGGGAGGGTCCATACCATGGAAGGTGTGATTTTTCCCGAGGGTCCATTCCTAAAACGTAGTGGGCAGCCACTCGGCCTCGCAGCTGTGGCTGCCGGCAGTGGGTGACGCCTTTCTTGCGCACGCGTCTCAGGCCCTGAACTTGGGAGCAGGCTGGACTGTGGCGCTCCGCCCCGTTCGGCTTGGTTTGCGCTGGAATGCCATGCTTTTCAAAGTGTCTGAGTGCACGGCACTTTCTCAATATGTGCAGCGATGGTCTGATAAGAAGCCAAGCGTCTGGTTCGTGAGTTCACGGCCCCCGCCACGGCCAGTGCCCACTGGAGGCCAGGGCTGGGGCTCAGACCTCAGCTCAGCATTCAGGCCTGCCTGGGAAACGGCTCTGTGCAGTGCCAGGGCCTCTACTTCCCAGTTCTCCTGGCATTTGCAAACCACCTCCATCCTCAGGACTGACACCTCCCACCGTCAGGCGACCCCAAAGGCTGAGTCCACTCAGTGCAACGCGAGCGCCCCCTCCGGCCGGCGGTCCCCAGCCCCCCGCGCTGCTCGCTCAGCCCCACAATGCGCCCTTGTACCGGGCCTGCAGCCAGGCCGGGGGATTTGGCGCAAGGATCGGGGCAATATTCGTCAGATATTTAAAACAGAGCCGAGAGAACAAAGTGGGTCTTTGTGCTGCCGGGCGGCCGGGAGCGGAGAGGCGCTGCCCACCCCCCAGCCCTGCGCACTCGGCTCGGCGCGGAGCGCGCTCCCGCGCGGGTTCCCAAACATTTTCCAGCCAGAGCGCGAGGCGAAGCGTTAACCCTTCCCCGCCTGCTCCCCGCTGCGCGCTGAAAGAGAAGCTGGTTTAGTCTACTGGCCACGACGTGTTTAATTGAAAAAAGAACTAGTCATTTTCCATGTTTCTGCAGGAAGCATAGATCATTAAAATAAAATGATATACCAATTGGGAATCCAGGTTTCAAATGACTGGGAATAATAGGACGCCTGGGCCGTGTAAAAACCAAGTCTTTTGGAAAAGACGCCTTCTTTGGATGCAAGAAGTGAAATCTATTTGAAGGAATGAGCCTCTTCTGTCTTGTTTATGCTGGGTGACCGGCCCTTCCTTTTCCTGCTTATTGCCAGTTGGGATTTGGAAGATATGTTGGTTTATTGTCAAAGTCTTGGTTTTTGTTTTGGGTTGTGAGCTGGATGGCATTTATTTATTTTTAAAAATAACCGAATGACTTAGATACAAGTGAAGTGTTTGTGGTGTAGGGATCGTGTCGTGAACCAAGAAATAGAATTAATTCAGTTTTTTATGGATGCACATTCACGAGAGCAAGAGAGAATACAGTGTAAGTAATAAATACATTTTGTTGTTTTGGGGGAAGGAGATTGAAGAGGTCTCTTAAGTAGACCGGAACTTGGGGATGTGATGTGTAGAGTCTTCTTTCTGCCTTATGCTTAGGAAGATTTGCTCCCCTTCCCCGCAATGAAATGAGGAAGTGACAGGCAGAGGTTGGGGGAGCCAACTGCAGGTTTAGAAGTGAGTGCTTGTGCTTGAATTAGCCAGATGGCTGGGGAAGGTGGTTTCAAACAACCGGATAATTCCAGAGTCTTCTGAACCAGGCTCCAGGGTGCAGATTCAGCCTGGTTAGATGCTCAGCTCGTTCAAGCAAGTCAAGGGGGTGGAAGGGATCAAAGAGGCATCTCCTGACTTGCAGGCTAGTATTCTGGTTAGTCCACCCTGTCTTCCTGTGTACACACATCTGAGGAATTTATGGCTCTTTTTCCTTTGTAACTCCATTACCAGGTGGTGGTCACTGGCAAATGAAGAGATTTTTTTTTTCTGGTGCTGGAGCTTAAACCTAGGGCGTTGGGCATGTTAAGCATGTGCTTTACCCCTGAGGCCTGGCAAAGGGATTTTATGTGGGATATCTTGGCAAGAAGCTCCTTTACCATCCTTGACCTTCAGGTCTCCAGGGCAACTGCTGCTGGGATGTCAGTCATACCAGATCCTGTCCCTTAAATGCCAGTGCTATAGCAAAGGCAGATAAACAATTTTGCAGTAATAGTCAACGTCACCAACTTATTCTTAAATGTGGGCTGGCTAGTTAAGATGATGTAAGCGGTTTTTTTCTACTCTCTTCCACATTCTGGACCTAGAATTCTGGGCTTAAGACATAGTCTAAGAATGTATGTTGGGGTGTGAGGTGAGGAACGCTGCGGGTTAGGACTCTGGAGAATTCTTCGAGGCTCAGGGAAAAAGTTTTCTTCTTGGCTTTCCTAGTCCATACCACAGCTCAGCTCAGTTCCTGCCCCCTCCTTCCCCATCCTTTCCTCTCCCTCTTTTTTTCTGTCTTCTTTGTAGCTCTGTAAAGTCATCTTATATAAGTTGTGGTGGACACTGTTCACAGTTCAGCCCTCTGTCTCCTACCTCCTCAGTTATGAATGCTACTTCTCACTTCTTGAATCTACAATAACAACAAAATATATCTATTATTTATATTTCCTTCTTTGATCTTATGCATGTACATCCACATACAATTGGATTAATTCTATCTAATGCTAGCCATAGTTACTTTTTTTTTTTTAAAGCCAACTAAGATTGTACAGTGAAATTGGTACAGAACTTCACAGCAGGTTACCGGGATAACAGTAATAGGTATCAGAGTATATTTCGTTATCTTTATAATACTTATTCTTCCAATCACGTATATCAAAATGAGATGAAATACAGAACATTATAGAAATTATCAAAACAGAATATTGAATAGAGCAGTACCATTAATCAGAATAGAGCAAAACAGTAATAAAAATATTTGCCTTTAAAGAGATGGTAGAAGGAAGTCCCCCTTATTTGCTATGGTCAACCTCCAAGGAGATGCTCAGATGTCTGGTTCCCATTTCCTAACAGGGGGACAGGAAAAGGGGGGTACCCATTTGCTAATGGGGGGGCAGGAGAAAGGGGGTAGGGGAAGTGGGATGTTTGACTCTAGGCCGTGCATCAGTAGATTCACAATTGCTTAGCAGGGAGGCAGGCTGGTTGTTTGGTTTCCCAGTGTCCTAAGTTCCAACATGGCGTGGATTTCAGGAGCTGCTGGTGGTTCTCCCCCTGGAAGAGTGGCAGTTTGCCATACCACCACCACTTACCAGGGAGGGGAGTTGCATAGTTACTTTTTTTTACCAAGAGAATACAGAGAGGATGACATCCTGGGACTTTTAAGCCTTGGTTCCAAGGATTTGTTCTGCCTGGGTCTCTTAGAGGCTTTGCTCTTGGGACCCTCACTCTAGAACCAGCTACTGCCCTAGGAGAAATCCAAACACAGAGAGAGGCCAGAACTGCAGTACTGCAGTCAAGACCGTTTGCTGAGCTCCCAGCCAGCCTCTGTACCACTGCCACTCTGTCTTGGGTGGTCAAGTTATGGAATCTTGAATGACTCTAGCCCTAGCCTACCATTTGACTAGAATAACAAGAGCTCCTGAGAGAGAATTGGCTAGTTGGGCTTTGTTGAAGATGTGAATGATGTTACAGTCATTGTTACAGCTTGTGTTTAGATGTCCCCCCAAAGCCTTCATGTGGTCATGGTCATAGCCAGGGCTTTTCAGAGTTGGATGGATCTAGAGTGTGTGATGTTGGGATTGATTCATGGTGAAATGCTAGGATTAAAGGCACAGGATTAGAGTGTGTGATTACTAATTTAGTTTACTGATTGGGTTGGCACCTACCCTAAGACAGGTAACCTAGGTAGAATATAAAAGGGGCAGAAAGAAGCTGATATTATTGTTAGTTGCCTCCTGCCTACCATTCTCCTCTGCAAGTCCCCTCTGCCATGCCACCCTGCGATGGAGCCAGAAAACTATGGGCTGAAACCTCTACAAACTGTAAGCTAAATAAACCATTCTTTCTTTAACTTTGAGTGTTGGCTATTTTGTTTCAGCAATGAGAAAGTTATTAAGACTTTTTTTCATAACTGGGCTAAGTCGCTGAGTTTCAGGGCAGTCTGTCATGCACCAAAATGTAACTGTGCAAGGATGAAATGCTGGGTGGTGCGTGAAAAGAGAGTATCTTGGAGGTCTTAGCCACTTTGGAGAACTCAACTCTTTCTCAGCCTTTCTGCTCCACCTCCCCAACCCCATCTATCCTCATTTAGGATCCCTGCGTGTCACATGGCCCCATGCAAACCTTGTGTGGTCACCTATTGTTTTTTTTTTTTTTTGTCTTTTTCCTTTTTATCGGTACCAGGGATCGAACTGACTGCCTGCTTACAAGGCAGGCGCTTATGCCGCTGAGCTAAATCCCCAGCCCCATTGTTAAGTACATTAGTCTGCTCCACCCAAAGGCGGATGCCTGCAGGGGAGGGCCTGCCATCTATTTCTTTACTCTTCAGCTCCCACAGATTTGTCAAACTTTTCTAATGGACCACTGTGGGGAGTAACAGCCCAGAAGAGCACCTCAAGGTGGGTAAGTGACTTGGCTTCTTGTCTGCAGTGTTGCATACTTGTTCTTAGCAGTTGGATGGCTGCTGCTTGGGCCCATCCAGTTGCTAGCCACACTGTGAAAGAGTCTGAACCTCACTCATACTATGGCCACTCAGGGAAGATGACCAGGTCCAAAGGACCTGTTCAGATTTGCTCCCAGAGGCAATCCCAGGGAGCCAAAACCTGGGGAAGGACAAGACCCCACCCAGGTGTTAGCCCCAGGAACCACCCTTAGAGCTCCTTGGACCAGCCAGGAGCTCAACTCACAAAGGCACACTCATGTCTTCCTGTTATCCTGCCACTGCCTGTGGATGGAAATGTGTGCTTAGGCCATCCTTGACTGAGAAGCAGAGCCAGGGCCACTCAGATAGACCTTGGTGCCTCTCAGGAACCCTGTGTGCTCAATGCACACTCAGAGTGTTGGCGGGGGTGGTGGCAGGCCAGGATGGAGGTGCAGGAGGAATTCCTCAATCCTTCAATCAACATTCTTCTGTGAGCCCAACCTGGCTTCATGCTGTAGGACACAGTTGAGAAGGAGGCCCAGTCCCTGCTCTTAGGTAAAACACTTGGAATCTGATACACACCTCACTATAGGGCAGATGGGGTGACAGTGGGGTGGGGGAGCTATGGTCTTCCCTCCACATTACTTCTGACACTGTCTGCTGACATCAATAGAGATCTAGAAATAGTGTGAGGTATGGGGCATCAGGGCCACACAATCTGGGTTTGAGTCCTAGCTCCACCACTGATTGACTTTGTGACCTTAGACAGGTTACTTAAACTCTCTTGCCCTCTGTATTCTTATCAGTAACAATAGTACTTAGGGTGTATATGGTGTGATCAAAAATATAGTGAGTATTTAAATTTCAAAAATGTATTCTGGTAAAAGACATTGCCATTTCCTCCTTCCCCTCACTGGACACACTTAACCCACCAATCTTGCCATTTTCTGAAGCAGTTCTAAAAGGCTTATTTCCTGAGGAGACCGGCAGGCACCACCAGACCCAGGCTGATCCTCTGAGCCAGTGTGCTATGTCCCCACCCAGGGCTGTTCCTTCAGGCTAGGAGTTCACACAGCCTTGTGCCTCAGCTCCTTGTCCTGAACTTGTGATTAGTTTGCTTCCCGCTGGAGCAGAAGGCAGACTAGGGGTTAGGAGGGCAGCGGATGAGGCTAGAGGTCCCCAGAGCCCCAGGAAGCATTTCTATTTCATCTTGACCCCCATTCCAAACTCTGGCCTGCCTAGTCCCCAGCCGTGTCCAGAGACCTGGGATGTACATGCCCAGCTCCCACCCTCCCTGTGACTTCCTCAGGGCCAGAGCTCCTTCTTGATCTTAAGGAGGGCAGAAGCAGGGATGCCCAGGGACATGCTGGGCATGCATTTCCTGAAGGGACAGCTGCCCCGCACTGAGGTCTGCACTGCCTTTGCTCAGCGTCCCCAGTGTCAGCGCTCTGCTGCAAGCCATCAGCACGAGGCAGAATCATATCCATGTCACAGCGCCGCGCAGACAGCACTGAGAGTGACTCATTCAGGCACAGGACGTGTTCTGTGCCGAGATGTAGGGCCTCTCCGGGGAGGGTCATTTTCTCAAGAAAATGTCCACTTTACCTCATCTTTCAGGGGCCCACTTCCTGACCAACAGGCTCAAGTAAGTGACATTTGGACGATGAGTCTGGGCGGGATTCCAAACCCCTGGCGTTTCCAACACGAAAGGGTCAAAGTAAATCTTCGCTTTCCTTAAAGTAGTTTAACAGAAAGAAGACATTGGATCCTTCCTCGGCACATCTCAGGAGATGGATTTTCACTGTCATCCAAACTCAAGACAGAAAAATAAGGTATTAAGCCCTACTGGTCTGACTGGTTTATCCATCATA